GGAGTCTCCAGTCAGTTCCCCCGTGACCGAGGCACTGGCTCAGATCAGGAGCCGGTCGCTGCTCCCTGCTCCTCGTGCTTGGGTTGGAGGTCAAGCCCAGATAATGAGTTTCTCTGCAGGGGAAATAAGTAAAGGATTCGCTCAGCTAAGCCTCACGGCCTCGTCGGCTGCCGGATTCTTCATTTTCACAAATGCACAAGGCTCAGCAAAGACTGCAAAGCCCGCCAAAAATAGGTTTAACTCATTGGTGTTCCTCTCCACGGAAGTCTTTAGTAAAAGGCGAAAGACTTGTGCGTTATGAAGAGAAACCCGAGAAAGTACGGCCATGTGCTCAAGAGCTGCCGAGGTCTGCTGTCGTCCCAGCCACCACCCTCGTGGTTGGCCTCCCCCTCTGGCTCGTTGCCGAGCAAGATCCCAGGCCACGGCCATTCCCCCCGGTCCCGCCCACACCCCCCCCTTTCCAGCCGTTTTAAGGATTACTGTTGATTGCCACCAGCTGCAACGGCTGACATACATACAGTGCTTTTAGACTGGGAGCCCGCTGAGTTGCCACAAGGGGCACCAGTCAGCCCACAGAGCGTTCTCCCACCACTGCGGGACGAAAAGACTGCCACCGACCTCGACCCGTGGGTCCAGCCTCGGTTGGGGAGACGAGCTTCTCGCTTTGCAATCGGGCGTTTGGTTTTCCACAAGGCAGGAGGAGGGTGCACCGTTCCCGGCGGCACTGCAGTACCGGGTCGATGCGTGGAGTGAACGGAGCAAGCCCCTTTTTCAGCTCCCGGTGCTAAAAATCCGTTTAATATGTTGTCCCCATATAGAGGACATATCAGATATTAAACTGATAAGAACAGATACTACACTTGATCTTAGCCAAAAGGCCGAGAAGCGATGACCTCTGGGCCCATGCTGCCCGAGGCCACCTCCTGGGACAGCTGTCCCTTGCCGTGGTGAGATGGTTTTCCCTGTGCATGACAAAGGCAGCTGCTCTGCAACTCCGCCCATGGCTCCTCCCTTTTAACAAGGGATAACCAAATTGGGGAGGCCGGCTTCCCCCACCGTCAGAACAGGTACGTTAGCTGGAGTCTCCAGTCAGTTCCCCCGTGACCGAGGCACTGGCTCAGATCAGGAGCCGGTCGCTGCTCCCTGCTCCTCGTGCTTGGGTTGGAGGTCAAGCCCAGATAATGAGTTTCTCTGCAGGGGAAATAAGTAAAGGATTCGCTCAGCTAAGCCTCACGGCCTCGTCGGCTGCCGGATTCTTCATTTTCACAAATGCACAAGGCTCAGCAAAGACTGCAAAGCCCGCCAAAAATAGGTTTAACTCATTGGTGTTCCTCTCCACGGAAGTCTTTAGTAAAAGGCGAAAGACTTGTGCGTTATGAAGAGAAACCCGAGAAAGTACGGCCATGTGCTCAAGAGCTGCCGAGGTCTGCTGTCGTCCCAGCCACCACCCTCGTGGTTGGCCTCCCCTCTGGCTCGTTGCCGAGCAAGATCCCAGGCCACGGCCATTCCCCCGGTCCCGCCCACACCCCCCCTTTCCAGCCGTTTTAAGGATTACTGTTGATTGCCACCAGCTGCAACGGCTGACATACATACAGTGCTTTTAGACTGGGAGCCCGCTGAGTTGCCACAAGGGGCACCAGTCAGCCCACAGAGCGTTCTCCCACCACTGCGGGACGAAAAGACTGCCACCGACCTCGACCGTGGGTCCAGCCTCGGTTGGGGAGACGAGCTTCTCGCTTTGCAATCGGGCGTTTGGTTTTCCACAAGGCAGGAGGAGGGTGCACCGTTCCCGGCGGCACTGCAGTACCGGGTCGATGCGTGGAGTGAACGGAGCAAGCCCCTTTTTCAGCTCCCGGTGCTAAAAATCCGTTTAATATGTTGTCCCCATATAGAGGACATATCAGATATTAAACTGATAAGAACAGATACTACACTTGATCTTAGCCAAAAGGCCGAGAAGCGATGACCTCTGGGCCCATGCTGCCCGAGGCCACCTCCTGGGACAGCTGTCCCTTGCCGTGGTGAGATGGTTTTCCCTGTGCATGACAAAGGCAGCTGCTCTGCAACTCCGCCCATGGCTCCTCCCTTTTAACAAGGGATAACCAAATTGGGGAGGCCGGCTTCCCCCACCGTCAGAACAGGTACGTTAGCTGGAGTCTCCAGTCAGTTCCCCCGTGACCGAGGCACTGGCTCAGATCAGGAGCCGGTCGCTGCTCCCTGCTCCTCGTGCTTGGGTTGGAGGTCAAGCCCAGATAATGAGTTTCTCTGCAGGGGAAATAAGTAAAGGATTCGCTCAGCTAAGCCTCACGGCCTCGTCGGCTGCCGGATTCTTCATTTTCACAAATGCACAAGGCTCAGCAAAGACTGCAAAGCCCGCCAAAAATAGGTTTAACTCATTGGTGTTCCTCTCCACGGAAGTCTTTAGTAAAAGGCGAAAGACTTGTGCGTTATGAAGAGAAACCCGAGAAAGTACGGCCATGTGCTCAAGAGCTGCCGAGGTCTGCTGTCGTCCCAGCCACCACCCTCGTGGTTGGCCTCCCCCTCTGGCTCGTTGCCGAGCAAGATCCCAGGCCACGGCCATTCCCCCCGGTCCCGCCCACACCCCCCCTTTCCAGCCGTTTTAAGGATTACTGTTGATTGCCACCAGCTGCAACGGCTGACATACATACAGTGCTTTTAGACTGGGAGCCCGCTGAGTTGCCACAAGGGGCACCAGTCAGCCCACAGAGCGTTCTCCCACCACTGCGGGACGAAAAGACTGCCACCGACCTCGACCGTGGGTCCAGCCTCGGTTGGGGAGACGAGCTTCTCGCTTTGCAATCGGGCGTTTGGTTTTCCACAAGGCAGGAGGAGGGTGCACCGTTCCCGGCGGCACTGCAGTACCGGGTCGATGCGTGGAGTGAACGGAGCAAGCCCCTTTTTCAGCTCCCGGTGCTAAAAATCCGTTTAATATGTTGTCCCCATATAGAGGACATATCAGATATTAAACTGATAAGAACAGATACTACACTTGATCTTAGCCAAAAGGCCGAGAAGCGATGACCTCTGGGCCCATGCTGCCCGAGGCCACCTCCTGGGACAGCTGTCCCTTGCCGTGGTGAGATGGTTTTCCCTGTGCATGACAAAGGCAGCTGCTCTGCAACTCCGCCCATGGCTCCTCCCTTTTAACAAGGGATAACCAAATTGGGGAGGCCGGCTTCCCCCACCGTCAGAACAGGTACGTTAGCTGGAGTCTCCAGTCAGTTCCCCCGTGACCGAGGCACTGGCTCAGATCAGGAGCCGGTCGCTGCTCCCTGCTCCTCGTGCTTGGGTTGGAGGTCAAGCCCAGATAATGAGTTTCTCTGCAGGGGAAATAAGTAAAGGATTCGCTCAGCTAAGCCTCACGGCCTCGTCGGCTGCCGGATTCTTCATTTTCACAAATGCACAAGGCTCAGCAAAGACTGCAAAGCCCGCCAAAAATAGGTTTAACTCATTGGTGTTCCTCTCCACGGAAGTCTTTAGTAAAAGGCGAAAGACTTGTGCGTTATGAAGAGAAACCCGAGAAAGTACGGCCATGTGCTCAAGAGCTGCCGAGGTCTGCTGTCGTCCCAGCCACCACCCTCGTGGTTGGCCTCCCCTCTGGCTCGTTGCCGAGCAAGATCCCAGGCCACGGCCATTCCCCCCGGTCCCGCCCACACCCCCCCCTTTCCAGCCGTTTTAAGGATTACTGTTGATTGCCACCAGCTGCAACGGCTGACATACATACAGTGCTTTTAGACTGGGAGCCCGCTGAGTTGCCACAAGGGGCACCAGTCAGCCCACAGAGCGTTCTCCCACCACTGCGGGACGAAAAGACTGCCACCGACCTCGACCCGTGGGTCCAGCCTCGGTTGGGGAGACGAGCTTCTCGCTTTGCAATCGGGCGTTTGGTTTTCCACAAGGCAGGAGGAGGGTGCACCGTCTCCGCGGCGACTGCAGTACCGGGTCGATGCGTGGAGTGAACGGAGCAAGCCCCTTTTTCAGCTCCCGGTGCTAAAAATCCGTTTAATATGTTGTCCCCATATAGAGGACATATCAGATATTAAACTGATAAGAACAGATACTACACTTGATCTTAGCCAAAAGGCCGAGAAGCGATGACCTCTGGGCCCATGCTGCCCGAGGCCACCTCCTGGGACAGCTGTCCCTTGCCGTGGTGAGATGGTTTTCCCTGTGCATGACAAAGGCAGCTGCTCTGCAACTCCGCCCATGGCTCCTCCCTTTTAACAAGGGATAACCAAATTGGGGAGGCCGGCTTCCCCCACCGTCAGAACAGGTACGTTAGCTGGAGTCTCCAGTCAGTTCCCCCGTGACCGAGGCACTGGCTCAGATCAGGAGCCGGTCGCTGCTCCCTGCTCCTCGTGCTTGGGTTGGAGGTCAAGCCCAGATAATGAGTTTCTCTGCAGGGGAAATAAGTAAAGGATTCGCTCAGCTAAGCCTCACGGCCTCGTCGGCTGCCGGATTCTTCATTTTCACAAATGCACAAGGCTCAGCAAAGACTGCAAAGCCCGCCAAAAATAGGTTTAACTCATTGGTGTTCCTCTCCACGGAAGTCTTTAGTAAAAGGCGAAAGACTTGTGCGTTATGAAGAGAAACCCGAGAAAGTACGGCCATGTGCTCAAGAGCTGCCGAGGTCTGCTGTCGTCCCAGCCACCACCCTCGTGGTTGGCCTCCCCTCTGGCTCGTTGCCGAGCAAGATCCCAGGCCACGGCCATTCCCCCGGTCCCGCCCACACCCCCCCTTTCCAGCCGTTTTAAGGATTACTGTTGATTGCCACCAGCTGCAACGGCTGACATACATACAGTGCTTTTAGACTGGGAGCCCGCTGAGTTGCCACAAGGGGCACCAGTCAGCCCACAGAGCGTTCTCCCACCACTGCGGGACGAAAAGACTGCCACCGACCTCGACCGTGGGTCCAGCCTCGGTTGGGGAGACGAGCTTCTCGCTTTGCAATCGGGCGTTTGGTTTTCCACAAGGCAGGAGGAGGGTGCACCGTTCCCGGCGGCACTGCAGTACCGGGTCGATGCGTGGAGTGAACGGAGCAAGCCCCTTTTTCAGCTCCCCGGTGCTAAAAATCCGTTTAATATGTTGTCCCCATATAGAGGACATATCAGATATTAAACTGATAAGAACAGATACTACACTTGATCTTAGCCAAAAGGCCGAGAAGCGATGACCTCTGGGCCCATGCTGCCCGAGGCCACCTCCTGGGACAGCTGTCCCTTGCCGTGGTGAGATGGTTTTCCCTGTGCATGACAAAGGCAGCTGCTCTGCAACTCCGCCCATGGCTCCTCCCTTTAACAAGGGATAACCAAATTGGGGAGGCCGGCTTCCCCCACCGTCAGAACAGGTACGTTAGCTGGAGTCTCCAGTCAGTTCCCCCGTGACCGAGGCACTGGCTCAGATCAGGAGCCGGTCGCTGCTCCCTGCTCCTCGTGCTTGGGTTGGAGGTCAAGCCCAGATAATGAGTTTCTCTGCAGGGGAAATAAGTAAAGGATTCGCTCAGCTAAGCCTCACGGCCTCGTCGGCTGCCGGATTCTTCATTTTCACAAATGCACAAGGCTCAGCAAAGACTGCAAAGCCCGCCAAAAATAGGTTTAACTCATTGGTGTTCCTCTCCACGGAAGTCTTTAGTAAAAGGCGAAAGACTTGTGCGTTATGAAGAGAAACCCGAGAAAGTACGGCCATGTGCTCAAGAGCTGCCGAGGTCTGCTGTCGTCCCAGCCACCACCCTCGTGGTTGGCCTCCCCTCTGGCTCGTTGCCGAGCAAGATCCCAGGCCACGGCCATTCCCCCCGGTCCCGCCCACACCCCCCCTTTCCAGCCGTTTTAAGGATTACTGTTGATTGCCACCAGCTGCAACGGCTGACATACATACAGTGCTTTTAGACTGGGAGCCCGCTGAGTTGCCACAAGGGGCACCAGTCAGCCCACAGAGCGTTCTCCCACCACTGCGGGACGAAAAGACTGCCACCGACCTCGACCGTGGGTCCAGCCTCGGTTGGGGAGACGAGCTTCTCGCTTTGCAATCGGGCGTTTGGTTTTCCACAAGGCAGGAGGAGGGTGCACCGTTCCCGGCGGCACTGCAGTACCGGGTCGATGCGTGGAGTGAACGGAGCAAGCCCCTTTTTCAGCTCCCGGTGCTAAAAATCCGTTTAATATGTTGTCCCCATATAGAGGACATATCAGATATTAAACTGATAAGAACAGATACTACACTTGATCTTAGCCAAAAGGCCGAGAAGCGATGACCTCTGGGCCCATGCTGCCCGAGGCCACCTCCTGGGACAGCTGTCCCTTGCCGTGGTGAGATGGTTTTCCCTGTGCATGACAAAGGCAGCTGCTCTGCAACTCCGCCCATGGCTCCTCCCTTTTAACAAGGGATAACCAAATTGGGGAGGCCGGCTTCCCCCCACCGTCAGAACAGGTACGTTAGCTGGAGTCTCCAGTCAGTTCCCCCGTGACCGAGGCACTGGCTCAGATCAGGAGCCGGTCGCTGCTCCCTGCTCCTCGTGCTTGGGTTGGAGGTCAAGCCCAGATAATGAGTTTCTCTGCAGGGGAAATAAGTAAAGGATTCGCTCAGCTAAGCCTCACGGCCTCGTCGGCTGCCGGATTCTTCATTTTCACAAATGCACAAGGCTCAGCAAAGACTGCAAAGCCCGCCAAAAATAGGTTTAACTCATTGGTGTTCCTCTCCACGGAAGTCTTTAGTAAAAGGCGAAAGACTTGTGCGTTATGAAGAGAAACCCGAGAAAGTACGGCCATGTGCTCAAGAGCTGCCGAGGTCTGCTGTCGTCCCAGCCACCACCCTCGTGGTTGGCCTCCCCCTCTGGCTCGTTGCCGAGCAAGATCCCAGGCCACGGCCATTCCCCCCGGTCCCGCCCACACCCCCCCTTTCCAGCCGTTTTAAGGATTACTGTTGATTGCCACCAGCTGCAACGGCTGACATACATACAGTGCTTTTAGACTGGGAGCCCGCTGAGTTGCCACAAGGGGCACCAGTCAGCCCACAGAGCGTTCTCCCACCACTGCGGGACGAAAAGACTGCCACCGACCTCGACCGTGGGTCCAGCCTCGGTTGGGGAGACGAGCTTCTCGCTTTGCAATCGGGCGTTTGGTTTTCCACAAGGCAGGAGGAGGGTGCACCGTTCCCGGCGGCACTGCAGTACCGGGTCGATGCGTGGAGTGAACGGAGCAAGCCCCTTTTTCAGCTCCCGGTGCTAAAAATCCGTTTAATATGTTGTCCCCATATAGAGGACATATCAGATATTAAACTGATAAGAACAGATACTACACTTGATCTTAGCCAAAAGGCCGAGAAGCGATGACCTCTGGGCCCATGCTGCCCGAGGCCACCTCCTGGGACAGCTGTCCCTTGCCGTGGTGAGATGGTTTTCCCTGTGCATGACAAAGGCAGCTGCTCTGCAACTCCGCCCATGGCTCCTCCCTTTAACAAGGGATAACCAAATTGGGGAGGCCGGCTTCCCCCACCGTCAGAACAGGTACGTTAGCTGGAGTCTCCAGTCAGTTCCCCCGTGACCGAGGCACTGGCTCAGATCAGGAGCCGGTCGCTGCTCCCTGCTCCTCGTGCTTGGGTTGGAGGTCAAGCCCAGATAATGAGTTTCTCTGCAGGGGAAATAAGTAAAGGATTCGCTCAGCTAAGCCTCACGGCCTCGTCGGCTGCCGGATTCTTCATTTTCACAAATGCACAAGGCTCAGCAAAGACTGCAAAGCCCGCCAAAAATAGGTTTAACTCATTGGTGTTCCTCTCCACGGAAGTCTTTAGTAAAAGGCGAAAGACTTGTGCGTTATGAAGAGAAACCCGAGAAAGTACGGCCATGTGCTCAAGAGCTGCCGAGGTCTGCTGTCGTCCCAGCCACCACCCTCGTGGTTGGCCTCCCCCTCTGGCTCGTTGCCGAGCAAGATCCCAGGCCACGGCCATTCCCCCCGGTCCCGCCCACACCCCCCCTTTCCAGCCGTTTTAAGGATTACTGTTGATTGCCACCAGCTGCAACGGCTGACATACATACAGTGCTTTTAGACTGGGAGCCCGCTGAGTTGCCACAAGGGGCACCAGTCAGCCCACAGAGCGTTCTCCCACCACTGCGGGACGAAAAGACTGCCACCGACCTCGACCGTGGGTCCAGCCTCGGTTGGGGAGACGAGCTTCTCGCTTTGCAATCGGGCGTTTGGTTTTCCACAAGGCAGGAGGAGGGTGCACCGTTCCCGGCGGCACTGCAGTACCGGGTCGATGCGTGGAGTGAACGGAGCAAGCCCCTTTTTCAGCTCCCGGTGCTAAAAATCCGTTTAATATGTTGTCCCCATATAGAGGACATATCAGATATTAAACTGATAAGAACAGATACTACACTTGATCTTAGCCAAAAGGCCGAGAAGCGATGACCTCTGGGCCCATGCTGCCCGAGGCCACCTCCTGGGACAGCTGTCCCTTGCCGTGGTGAGATGGTTTTCCCTGTGCATGACAAAGGCAGCTGCTCTGCAACTCCGCCCATGGCTCCTCCCTTTTAACAAGGGATAACCAAATTGGGGAGGCCGGCTTCCCCCACCGTCAGAACAGGTACGTTAGCTGGAGTCTCCAGTCAGTTCCCCCGTGACCGAGGCACTGGCTCAGATCAGGAGCCGGTCGCTGCTCCCTGCTCCTCGTGCTTGGGTTGGAGGTCAAGCCCAGATAATGAGTTTCTCTGCAGGGGAAATAAGTAAAGGATTCGCTCAGCTAAGCCTCACGGCCTCGTCGGCTGCCGGATTCTTCATTTTCACAAATGCACAAGGCTCAGCAAAGACTGCAAAGCCCGCCAAAAATAGGTTTAACTCATTGGTGTTCCTCTCCACGGAAGTCTTTAGTAAAAGGCGAAAGACTTGTGCGTTATGAAGAGAAACCCGAGAAAGTACGGCCATGTGCTCAAGAGCTGCCGAGGTCTGCTGTCGTCCCAGCCACCACCCTCGTGGTTGGCCTCCCCTCTGGCTCGTTGCCGAGCAAGATCCCAGGCCACGGCCATTCCCCCGGTCCCGCCCACACCCCCCCTTCCAGCCGTTTTAAGGATTACTGTTGATTGCCACCAGCTGCAACGGCTGACATACATACAGTGCTTTTAGACTGGGAGCCCGCTGAGTTGCCACAAGGGGCACCAGTCAGCCCACAGAGCGTTCTCCCACCACTGCGGGACGAAAAGACTGCCACCGACCTCGACCGTGGGTCCAGCCTCGGTTGGGGAGACGAGCTTCTCGCTTTGCAATCGGGCGTTTGGTTTTCCACAAGGCAGGAGGAGGGTGCACCGTTCCCGGCGGCACTGCAGTACCGGGTCGATGCGTGGAGTGAACGGAGCAAGCCCCTTTTTCAGCTCCCGGTGCTAAAAATCCGTTTAATATGTTGTCCCCATATAGAGGACATATCAGATATTAAACTGATAAGAACAGATACTACACTTGATCTTAGCCAAAAGGCCGAGAAGCGATGACCTCTGGGCCCATGCTGCCCGAGGCCACCTCCTGGGACAGCTGTCCCTTGCCGTGGTGAGATGGTTTTCCCTGTGCATGACAAAGGCAGCTGCTCTGCAACTCCGCCCATGGCTCCTCCCTTTAACAAGGGATAACCAAATTGGGGAGGCCGGCTTCCCCCACCGTCAGAACAGGTACGTTAGCTGGAGTCTCCAGTCAGTTCCCCCGTGACCGAGGCACTGGCTCAGATCAGGAGCCGGTCGCTGCTCCCTGCTCCTCGTGCTTGGGTTGGAGGTCAAGCCCAGATAATGAGTTTCTCTGCAGGGGAAATAAGTAAAGGATTCGCTCAGCTAAGCCTCACGGCCTCGTCGGCTGCCGGATTCTTCATTTTCACAAATGCACAAGGCTCAGCAAAGACTGCAAAGCCCGCCAAAAATAGGTTTAACTCATTGGTGTTCCTCTCCACGGAAGTCTTTAGTAAAAGGCGAAAGACTTGTGCGTTATGAAGAGAAACCCGAGAAAGTACGGCCATGTGCTCAAGAGCTGCCGAGGTCTGCTGTCGTCCCAGCCACCACCCTCGTGGTTGGCCTCCCCTCTGGCTCGTTGCCGAGCAAGATCCCAGGCCACGGCCATTCCCCCCGGTCCCGCCCACACCCCCCTTTCCAGCCGTTTTAAGGATTACTGTTGATTGCCACCAGCTGCAACGGCTGACATACATA